CACAGTCCTACTGGTGACACCATCTGTGGAGCTATACATTGATTTGTAGGATGTTACTGCGCCTTCCTGGGCTCTTCCTCTTGACCAGAACGATTAAGGAGCACACCACCTGAGCCCCTGTCCTGGTCACCCTTGCACCCAGAGTCCTGTAGTCACTTTTGATCTACTCAGGGTCTCCCCAGGTAGTATCATTGGTGCCCATATAGATGAGCAATATTGGGTAGTAATTTGAGGGTCAAATAAGGCTCAGTAATGTTTCCAAGACATCTCAGATCTGGGCTCTGGGCAAGAACCAGACCTCCTGAGACAACATGTCAAGCTCACGGATGGATGCTTCCATCCCCCTCAAAAGGTAATCTGCAACCACCATCACTTGTTGCTTCTTCTTGGTGGCAGTGGTCTCAATTCTTGCAACTTTGGGGAGGCCTGGCCTCTTCTCCTCCATTGCTAGGATCCATATCTGTTTTCAAGGCAAACTGCTGCAGGTGGACATGAAGATTTCCGCTTGCTGCCAGAGGTCGCAAGCTTCCAGCTTCCACCTTTCTGGCAGTCCTTGTCCTCTCCCTTCTCTACCACTGTCTTTGGCAGTCATTCTTCCACAGTCCTAGAGAGCTTCATCACTGAATCAAATTCTCATTGTGCAGGAAGCTTTGGAGCCTGGCCACCTCTTCCTGCAGCTCTCTTGCCTGTTTCCTGAGGGACACCATGAGGATGCACTGCTGACATTACAGGTAGTCCTGCAACTGGCTGTCCCTGGAAGGAACCTGGAGCTGCAGGCTCCACAGCATCAAATCAGGACCTGGGTGGAAGTGTTGACAGTTGGCAGTTCTGCCTGGACAGAAATAGGTGCAAGCAGAAACAATGGGTGTGGACCTGGCATTGTTACGTCTTCCAGCCATTTCTCTAGGTTTGTTAGTCTGCTGCCTCTCTCTTGCTGCCCTTCTTCCAGGCAGACCTTCCCTAGCAAACTCACCTGTAGGCTAGCTTGTTTACTGCTCCTTGGTCCCAAAAGGTTCCTTTTCCCCTGCTTCCTGTCACCAAGCCTAAAGGTTCCCTTTCAAAGAGAGGAGTGGCACACTGCTTGCCCTGTTCACTCATTTCCTGATCACTCAGGGAGTCTCCTTTTATATGCTTCTGGGTCTGGACTGGCTCCATCCCCTCATTAGGATTTTTGTCAGACTAAGGCAGCAGTCATTCAGGAACCACTCAGCTAGCTGCACTCAAACTGCTGCTCAGAGCACATGCCCACCAAACAAACACTCAGCAAGCCAAACACATATACCGCCCTGGCTCCCTCAACTTCCCAGAGCAGGATCTGGTGCCTGGCTTCTCTTCCTTTTCCCCTTCCTTATCTTGCTTCCATGTGCTCCATCAAGTTTCCTAAAGTCAGCCAAGAGTGACGTCCTGCAAGTACCATCTGGGCAGTAAGTTTGCTTATCCAAAGCACATGGGATGTTATTCTTGATTGTTGCTCCTCAGCTCTGGAACTCCCTTTCCCTTGAGCCCTGCCAGAGCCTGAGTTTGCCTATCTCCTGGAAGTGATGTATGGCATTTTTATTTGGACAGGTTTTTAGCAGATGGGGTTATATTTTGTGTATTATTTTGGGTACTATTTTATTGTTTTAGTATTTTATCTGTTATTTTATTGTAAGCTGCTCTGAGCCTTTGTGGGGAGAGCAGCATAAAATACTGCATAAATACAGCATAAAATGCTGTAACTGAAGGAAAGAACCTTGGCCCTACCATTTGCTTTTCTGTACTTTGTATATAATATTTATTGGATAAATAGCAAGAGGATGTTTTCTGGACAAAAGGAAGGCAGTGGCCAAGAGCTGAATGAATGTCTCTTCCCCAGAAGGGCAGGAGCAGTCATATCACTAAGCCAATTTCCTTCTATCCTGCTTTTCTCCTGGCTCCTCATGTGTTCCCCTCTGGCCTCTCACTGGGCTACCTACAAGGGGAGAACTGGGAAGTGCCTTTTAGGAAGTACCTAGTTCATGGCCTTCTGGTCACTGCATTTTGCTAGGAGCAGGACATGGAATCCTCTCTGGGTGAGAGAGGGAGTCTAAGATGTGAGTTTGTTGTCCCCTAGCTACATGCCTTAAACAATAGATTCTTGAGTTCTGGTATCAAATGATTGCTAACTGTGGTTCATTTGGGACTTAACCTGCATTACATGAAAACCCCAGTGATTCTAATAAGTTCTGGACCCTTGCAAAGCTCAGAAGGAGAACACAGGGTGAGAACAGGTAAGCAAAAATAAATGTCCAACTTAAAAGAGTATATGAGTGATAATGTCACAAAGAGCTCAAATAGGATTTAGCCTCTACTGTAGTCCTCAGTGAACTGGCTAAATTCTAATGAGGGTCATGAATTATGACACTTTTGCACCTAGCATTTCTTACTGATTAACTCGGTCTCCCACTGCTCAGGAACTAGAAAAGGCACTTCATTATGCTGAAGCCAAAATGAAGGTACCTACAAGTTCCATCTAGAAGCTCAATGTCATACCTATTGATATCTTTAGTAACATGGAGTAGCAATCCACTTTGTGAGTACTTCCATTGGTTTCGGCTGTTTCCATGAAAGAGTTTTTCAGCTCTAATGAACACTCAAAAGTTCAAATTCTTATTAGAACCCTAGCTTCAGAAGGATTACTAATAGAAAAATTATTATACAGGTCAGTAAATCTATCAGAACCTGGTCTACTGACACGGACTTGATTTTATGTTGTACTTCCAAAAGGATGGCAAAATCTGTTTTGGAAGGACCTCTCATGAAATCCATTCATTCGCTATAAAGTAGTTGTTTATCAGAAACTGCCCATAAGCATTTCCCACTCTAAGGTGGTTAAATTTAGACATGGTTTATTTTATTTGAATACCTGAAACAACATTTTTTTTCTCTAAAGGGTGCCAAGAAGTAAGACAATGCTACTTTTGTTACTTTGGCTGGATTCTTTCTTCTGCCTCTGTGCAATGGGAGTCAACCTGTTAATAAAGGAATTTCAAAGGCAGCCTTTGAAAATGAAGCCAAATGAATAAGTGATTAGGTTTTTTTTCTAGGGAAATCCTTGTTTCATTCATTTTTAAACTCAGTTTCAAAACCAAACCCAGGTATGATCCTGCCATAATCCAATATGAAAAAGTTTTCATTAAAATGAAAGGGAATTTTAAGTTTGAACAGAATGGAAGTTTATTTAATAAAAAGTATTTGAAAGCATTGAGTTTATCTGCTCAACAATTTTAAATCTCTGGACAATCTAGTCAGTTACTTTATAATTAAAATTATTTTCAAACATCATTTGGCATTTTTTTTGTGCACGAGCTATTAATATTTTACTAAGTATTCTCAGCTGTCTAGCACTTCATTAGGAAAATAAACATTAAGATTTAGGTAATGACCAAATAGTGTATTTATTATTTCTGTTTTGTTTTAAGGACACATCTTTGAACCCTTTGGTGAGAGCAGAGGAAGAGATGGCAGAATAAATTTCAAGTCCAAGGTTAAAGCATAAATTACACAAAAGATGGGTTTAAATTAACCTGGTCTCTTATCCTGAGTGTTTCAAGCAGAGAATAGGAAGGATATAATTGCACTGGAGAGGATGTAGTACATAGCTGAGCTATCAGGTCACAAGATTCTGAGTTGTTCAGAAAAGCTAAGTGAGTTGGCATTACTCTGACTGGAAAAAGAGGAGACTTTGAGGTGACCTCAGATAAGTCATTAGAGGTATTCCCAACCCCCAAATTTGATCCAAATCCAAAAAGTCATATAGTTTGTGTGCAGAGTCTTATTCAGCCTACTATAGAGACAGGAGTTAGGTGAGAAATAAGATCCAGATTCAAAACTTAATGCTTGCAGGTACCTAGATCAGGCCTATATGAATGCTACATTGCATGAGGTCAGAAAAGGAAGGTTAATAAACTAACCTATTATCTAGAAGCAACCAAAAGGCCAGGTAGCAAGAGCTGTCAAAAATATTCCAGCTCAATCAGCAGAGACTGGCATCTAAAAAGGGGCTGGGTACTACCTTCAATAAGTTCTGCAAGAAGAACCAGCAAGACAGTAAGAATTGAAGGGCATCATTGTGAGAGCTGCAAACAGGGAAAGATATAAAAATTTCAGGGAATCTTGAAGACAGATTAAAAAGCAGACTATAGCCATTTAACATGGGATTCCTGGAACAAGAGAGATGAGGTCCAAGTCAATGACTACATTGTCACAGTGTCCATGGCTCATTTCACTTTGGGTTACATTTGCACTGTTTCTTACCTTAAGGAGTTTGACCTAAGGGCATATCTACACTGTTCCTGTATAGGGATAGGGATTGTTTCAGTAAAATAAACCATGTTTATTCAACAAATATTGCACCCCAATATTTCTAGATGTAGTGTAAGTGTGAAATTAAAATCTCAGTAGAGTCTGGTGACTGTCCTCCATCAAGAGCCACACTAATCACATAACTTCAGACAGAGTACATAGAATAGATATGGTGTTTACTGCTGAGCAACCCCATCCCCCATCATCATCAACAATAATTTATAGATAATTTACAGATGATAAACTATCATCTCAGAGTAGTGCAAACATACCTGAACTGTTAGACAATAATGGTATCCAAAGATGTGTTGGTGTTCCAAGACTTACCAGAAAAGGGGTGCTTTGACTACCAGCTGCACTGCTGACAGACCCCCATATCTAGAATATTATGACAAGGAAATTGCTACAGCTTAACTATTATAGTTATTGCAGTTATAAGACAAACAGAAGAGTGAACATAATCTAAACATCTTATGAAAGAAGATAAGATTTCAGTCAAATAGGAAGAATTTATCACACAAGACATCAAAACAAGGACAGGGTACTTTACAGGTCTAGTTTCCTTTGAAGATAAGAATTTGCAAACTAGCTTGAGGTTACTATAGCCAGTTAGCCACAGCAAACATTTGCACAGAACTGCTGAAGTGCTCCGGATATTTTTTGTATTTTTTTTACAGGGTAAACCAGTTGTGTAGGACTCCTGATGACCTCCAGCTTGTAAGAGAAGAGGTATCCTTTGAAGTAAAGCTTCAGCAAACATCTGAGCAACTTGTCTTCATTTCAGCAACTTCTGTGAATTAAGTAGGTTGTAAACCATCCAGAATGAATATTCTGGATTTTAGATTTGGTCTTAGAGCATCCTGAAGAAATTGCATGTTTAAAAGCAAAAATATATGACTGAGATGGTGCAAACCTGGCATATGCTTAGGTATATAGCATTTTTCTCTCATTTCAATCTTCTACTCTTTTATCTTCCTCACACATTAATCATGTGGATTAGCACTCATACATTTGCTTACAACTGCAATTTAGGAGAAGCAAAGGAGACCAGTATTGTACAGCTTAAACCTCATTTGAATCCTGATCAGATTAGCAGTTGTGGGCAGAATGTGACTTGGTGGTGGTATGTTTGTAAAGGTGATACCAAGAAATTTGTAGTTCTTTTTCCTATTTTGTATGAAAGTCATTAAAGCCATAAACAAATGGTTTCAGTTTATTTTAAAGACTTTTGAATTCAAAGCTTCCATTTTTTTCTCCATGAAGATTTTTAGCCCTATTAAAACATTGATCCTACATACTTGGAGTGAATGGAACTTATGCCACTGACTTCAGTGAGTTTAAAGTTAAGTTCTAAAACATTTAGCATATATTGTAGTTCAGAGAAATCCTTTTAAAATAATACACATTTTAATGAATCAGCAAATAAGTCTAGTCCTTTGCACATTTAGGGTACATGCACACATTTGTGGTATCCAAACTACAGTTAAGTCACATGACCATAGATCAGGTCCAGCTTGTACACACATTCAGCAATCCTAGGAGCTGACTGGGAATCTGATCTAAGTAAGTCTGTGTGATAGGAGGGGTGGGAGGGATTGGAAGGTTACAACAGGTCTGTAGAAGAAGGTTTGGTGGATTCAGGGGTGGGGTTCGTGAGATCAGGGTGAGGAAAGTTTGGTTGGTCTTAACAGGTGATTGGTGGGTCTGTGGGGGGCAGCAGTCTGTCCAAGGGTGGGGAAGGGCTGGACGGTGGGGCATAAAAATAGCCATTAAAAGACGTTAACTATTACTTGAAGATATATTGTTTCTCAGAACACAGTTACAATTTAGTGGCAATTTACAACAATCATGAATAATGAACATTTAATATACGGGGGGAAATACCAGATACAGAGCAATATTTTTGTTTAGGAAGAAATACTAGCTCTATTAAAGATACATTTTCGCTCTGATTTTAGTGGGGCTGTAATTTTATACTTGGTAAAAGCTTACACAACTCTTTTGAAACCCAGCTTAATTTTAGCTGAGAATCTGGCTCCCAGTGTTGATGATGGGCAAGCACATCACTTCTTGACCTATTGTGTGTGGTATTCATTTTATTTTTCAAAACATAGTGTGACAGTGTGATTACACTTGAAAATGTCTTTGCAAAGTAATAAACCCCTTGGATAAAGAGTTACTCAAGAGTTTGCACCTACCAATAACATTTTCTTTTTTTTCCCCTGGATATAATAAATACAGACACAAGTATCTATATAATGTTAAAAAATAGTCAAAAGCCAGGATTTTCATTTAATAGGAAATTCCAACATATTAAAATTCTTTTTATTTTTGTTGAACACTTTGATTTTTCATTCCCATTTGGGATTAAATTTCTGAAAAAGGATTCATAAGTATCATGCTTTTTCTTCATTTCAATTAAGTCAGAGCCCTTCATTTCAATTTTGTTCTGTGAAAAAAATAAAAGCAATAACGTTGAGATAAAAAGCTTTAACTTTATTGAAAAGGAATGTTTTATCAGAATTAAACATTTCACTAATGTTTTCATTGAACATTTTAACAAAATCTACATTTTCTGGTGAAATATTTTAATTCCACTGGAAATTTCTAATCCAATGAAAAACTGCTTTGTTGGAAAGAAAACTTTGACCAGCTGAAGTAAATTACTTATGTATAGTCGATTTCTGGGAAAAGCAAAAGTCTGCTATTAATTTGATTAATAGTAACATGTTAATTTTCTTAATAGACATCTTATAAGTAAGAGTTATTCATAAAATAGCTTTGGTCTTTTTAATCATATAAGTAAGGTAAAACAACTGATTGCAACTATATCAGCTATTAACAGAAAATTATTTTGAATTCTATTAAGGGGCTGAATTCTGAATTCTCTTCAGGGGCTCCCTCTTATCAAATTAATTCCCTCACAATATAGGACTTGCCTATATTTCTGATATTTCTTCTGCTAATATTCCTTCATTTTCTGTATTCAGACCAGTCCTCTGTATTTATTAATCTAAGTATTTTTGCTCATTTTAGTAGGGTTAAAAATAGTATCAGTACTCATATGTGGATTTGAACTTATACTTGAAGCTTTCAACTTCTTGCCGGCCAAAAAGTCTTCCTGTTTTCCTTAATATTCCACAACCCCATGACTCTGTCCCATATTGTTATCCTGTCAAATATTTCATCACTATTGCCTTTTCCAAATTATTTTTCTTTTATATGTCTATTTTAGATTATACATATTGCACACAACCCAGGTTAATAGACAATGTGGAGCTACAACCTCTCTGGGAATTGTTACTCAGATGCTTCCCAGTGGACGTGCAGGCTAGGTACAGACATTGCACCTAACAGGCATTAAGCACATGGAAAGCACTTTAAAGTTGTAACAGAACACACATACATGACACTTAAAGCACTTTAAAAATGGCATATCTCACTCTAAGTTAACCCTTGATGGATGTGGTATTTGATTAAAGTGCTTTAAGTTAGAGTGTTTTTTGAACATCTGTACAATACCCATTGCACTTCAACGTAGGTCACCCCTGGGGTGGTGTTCTGCCACCATCCCAGGGGTCCCACACTGGGTGGCTTGCTATCCTCAGCCAGTGCTCATCTGCTTTGTGCAAGCACCAGCCCAGTCTCACCACTGAGCTGTCACAGAGAGGAGACACAAAAGGCTCTATCTTCTCATTGCACAGATGGTGGTGGGGGAAGGAACTGACTCTCTGCCATTCTTCCCCCCAAGCTTGGTGGGGGGCCAAACCAGATCGATGTAGTAGTGAGGCTCCATTTCTCCCCCCTTGGCCCCAGTTCCTAGCTAAGCAAAAAGCTGGACCAGGCAGCCCCATGCTGAAGCTTTTGGCTGCCATTGTCAGGAAGCTTGGTACGGTGGGGAAATGGAGCCTCCCTGACCATGGGGGGCCCCCACAGCTGGGGTCTTATGGGGGCTGGGCCAGGTCTGCATGGAATGAGGTCTCCTTCCTCCCCCCCCCGCCCCCAAGCCTCAGTGAAAACCCAGGCTGGGCCACCCCATGCTGCAGCTCCTGGCTGCAGCTGTCAAGAGGATGGGGTGGCGAGGGGAAAGGGAGTTCCTCATCCCATGAAGACCCAATCTGCCCCCACCCAAGATCCCAGCCAGCAATCTGTGTAGCCACCCTTGTGGCAGGGGGCTCCTTTGATCCCTTTTTTTCCCCTAGCCACTGCTGACAGTCACCAGTTGGTGGGTGGACAGGGCTGGGGAAAGGGGCCACTCCAGGAGTCTCCTGAGAGGCATGTGGGCACACCCCAATCTGATGGCACTGAGCCCCTTCCCTCACCCCCCATCAAATGGCAAATGTTGCTTCAGTTCATTCCTGCTCTAACTTATAGTACTTTAAGTAAAGTGTGATCATTAGAGCGCTTCCTCCAGGGGCTTTTTGAACACCCTTACTTAGACTCAAAGTTCCCCTGATGTTTTTAGCTCCTGCCCCAATGTGACAGTCATGCTTTACACACTGATGCAAAGCCATCCAACTTTTCTACATCTGAGGGATCCTACACTGTTGGAAAACAGTGCAGAAATAGTTTCTATATTCCCCCTAGGTTAAAAAATGTGAATCTTGACTGAATCTTATGCGAGTCATACAAGTGTGTGCCGATTCCACTCTAATCTTTCCACTATAAATTCTTTGGAGCAAGGAATATCTTAGTAAAAAGTTTGTAAAGCACTGGGTAAATTAGCAATAATAAGTATGTGTGACCCTTACTATTAAAAATGAACTACCACACAGTTTTCTCTGTTCTGTAGCTTTCCATATTGATTTTTACTTTATCTTGATCTCTTTCATTACAGCTAAATATCTCTAAGGGGTATATTATTTACTGTATAGTTGATGATTAAAATCTCTGCATCATACATATAACTATAAGTCTACTTTTCATTTCATGTTGGTTGTACTGGCTTCACATGCAATGCCAGATATGAATACTACTACATATTTTAAAATGATGTCTTTTGAAAGACCTGTCCTAACATCCCACAATTAATAAGATGACTCATCCTCATCTGAGTTTCATTAACCTAAAGGTCATAGGCACTCCAGATGAAGAAGACCTAGTAGATAACTGTGCCTATTCTGCAGTATGTACAGAATGCAAACACTTCCAGCCATCACAATCAAGGACACAGGAGTGTCCATATTGTTATATGTACAAACGATCTATACTCAGTCTTAGCTTAAAAAAATAAATTCAGAATCATTTCCTACTACAAAACTATATCTCTGTCTTTTCCATGCATTCCTTTTCAGTCAGAAATGAAATTCCTAAGTAAACAAATTCACTCCTATTAATCCCTAAACTAGTGGTCCATTTGTTTTGCTCATCATTTTTTCTTTTTAGTTTAAGACAATATTGGTGTTTGTAAAACTAATGTTTAAAGCATACTTTGTTGGTATTATATTAATAGTGACAATAGGAAAGGTACATCACCAGAATACTACATATACTTTATCTTCTGTTGCAAAGCCATGAATATACCTGTTCATTAATTATAATTTTGTTTTTATTCATGGACTGGTTTGAGAAATTTCTGAATTAAATAGGCCAAGGTTTGCTTTGCCCACAAAAAGGTACTACCAAATCAGATTCTAAATAAAGAGGCATCTATGCCAATTAGTAAATTACTGTGCAGGAAGAAATAGAAGGCTGGGCATATTTTCAACAAACAAGATACAGAATAATCAATTTAATATGCATGTCAGTAACTTCATCTCAATACCAAACTAAAACCCTAATGAATTCCAGTGTTTTCTTTTTTAGTTTTTCTTTTCT